GGAACCATACAAATCTAACTTCTACCTTGGAGGTGCTATATAAAGGGGTATAGTCACTTCAGCAAACAGTTTCACAGTTTCATATAAAGGTAAGCATATACTTAACTAGAATTTAAATTAAATTGAAACAACAACAACAACAAAAAACCCAAATAAATAAAAGCTACATCTTCTGACTAATTAGAATTTAAATAAAAAATTGAGGGCTGCTTGGGTGGCTCAGTGGGTTGAGCGACTCTTGATTTCAGTTCAGGTCATGATTTCAGGGTCATGGGATCAAGCGATGCATTTGGTTCAGTGCTGGGTGTGGAGCCTGCCTGAGATTCTCTCTCCCTCTGTCCCTCCCCTGCTTATACTTGTGCCCCCAAAATGCTGAAACAAAAGTAAATCAATAGATAAGATAAGCATACACTTGACATCAGACCCTGCAATTACACTCCTAGGTATTCACTCAAGTGGAAGAAAAAAGGTACACAAAGACTTGTACTTGAATGTTCACAGCAGCTTTATTTATCATTAATAGCCAAAAACCAGAACCTAAAAGTTGTGGTATATTCCCACAATGGAAATATTACTCAGCAATTAAAAGAAATTACTGATGCGTGCAATAATGTGGATACACCTAAACAATGTATTTATTATGCTGAGTGAAAGCACTTTTACAGGTGACTATGGGGAAACACGACAGGCTCTCAACGCACTGCTGGTGGGAATCCAAAATGGTGTGACCCTTACGGAGCATGACATCTAACAAAAACTGCATACACATTTACCTTCCACCCAGCAGTCTCCTCTAGGAACTTACCATGAAGGCACACTCCCAAAATAAATGTATATTCACAAAGTTACTCACTGCGGCATTATCTTAATCACAAAATACTGGAAACAACCTAAGAACCTATACGTAGGATGCTGCTGAATTAACTAGGCAATATGCATGTAATGGCAACTACGTAAAAAAAAAAAAAAAAGATGAGACAGGGGCTGGGGCAGGGCAGAAGAATCACTCAAGAATACGGAGTTTCATTCTAGGAAGACGAAAAATGTTCTGGAGGTGAATGGTGGTGATGGTCACATAACAATGTGAATGTATTTAATGCATTATATGGCTATTTTAAGTTTTATATGTATTTTGCCACTTTTTAAAGTAAGCTTTAGGCCCAACATGGAGCTTGAACTCACGATGTTCAGATCGGGAGTTGCACTGGAGGCCTGGGTGGTGAGTTGGTTAAGCAGCCAACTCTTGATTTCAGCTCAGTTCATGACCTCACAGTGTGGAATCGAGCCCCGTGTCAGGCTGTCAGGGCTCTGAGCTGACAATGGGGAGCCTGCTTGGGATTCTCTCTCTCCCTCTCTCTCTCTGCCCCTCCCCTGCATGTGTGCACACGTTCCCTCGCTCAAAATAAATGAACTTTACAAAAAGAAAAAAAAGAGATGCATGCTCCACCAACTAAATCAGCCAGGCCTCCCTAAATTTTATCACAACTTTTAAAAATGAATGGGAAAGATGCCTTTGATGTGATATGGCGTATTTCCAGAAGATATTAATAAATAAAAACAGCAAAGTACGCAGAATTCTGTGTCTGTGTGGATTCCCAAGATGTATGCCTATTAAATTTTATTTTCTCCTGCTTAAAAAAAAAAACAAAACAAAAAAAAACAGCAAAGTACAAAACAGTATATACAACATGCTACAATTTTTGTGTAACCAAAAAGAAAACAATAACATGTATCTGCTGTGATTATCAAAATGCTAAACTCAAAATAGTGAGGTTGGTTACCTATGAGAAATGAAGGAAATAGGATGGGAAAAATACAGAAGTGTATCTTTTGTATAATTTTAACTTCTGAAACCATGTTCGTTTTCTACAAATTCAAAAATTAATCCAATCAGGAGCTCCTGGGTGGCTCCTCAACTAAGCATCCGGACTCTTGATCTCAGCATTGTAAGGGACTCTTGATCTCAGCATTGTAAGTTAAAGCCCACATTGGGCTCTGCACTGAGCGTGAAGCCTACTGACTGATATATTGACTGATTGATTGATAGACAGAAGATAAATAAAAGTAAAAAAATAAAAATCAAAAAAACAATCAGAATGAGAATGAGCATTAACAAAACCCTGAAATTCAAATAAAGAACCTGATTTCATTTCAAATAAATACCATCATTTCCCTATGCACAAAGAAAAAAGCAGGGAGGAAAAGTAGGGAGGGGAGGGGAGGGAAGGGAAGGGAAAAGAAGGAAGGGAGAGAGGCCTGATTCGAGCAATTTAAGAATATATTATTCATTTATTTATTCTCAGCCTTGGGCAGGAAGGTTATGGGCAAGTCAAGAACTACATAAAATTGCCCAGTTACCTGAAGTAAGTTTGTTTGCTGTGGTGAGGTAGGCAAAGTAATTCTGAAATTATTTTAGACGTAGTATACAGGACAGAACGAATGAGTAAATGCACTGACAATGTTGGAAGCCAAGGTTCTCATGGCATAAAAAGGGACATAAAAATGTGAAGAGATAAGTGCAAAGAAAGAACCCTGTAGACAGGGAGTAAAGCTGGACATACTGATAGAAAGTCACCGTTTCTAAGCCATGTACATGCCTGTCACCGTGAATGTGTTTATGTGCACGTATGTTTATGTATGCATGTGTGTATAAGCATGCATATTTTACCAGCTCTGTCCACTGAAAGGGTCAAGAAGAGAAGACAACCCGCAAGCAGTGAGGCCACCACCCCTCACCTCGCGAGATCCTCTCTAATGCTATTCCCCACAAGGACACAGAGACTGATTAAAAGAGTTCCACTTCCAAACCTAGGACAACGGGAGCACCAAAATAATTAGGTAATGGATTTACCAATTCAAAACCTAGGAATCCATGGGTCCAAACTGATACACAGGGCTCGTGATTACACATTAACATCAACGGCTGACTGGTGGTAGGAAGGGAATGCTGGAACCATCAGAGTGAAAAATCAGATCAGATACGAATCATCAATGAACGCTAAATCTAGGGCAAACTGTGATGAGACACATACACGCACTGTCTCCGCATAAAATGCTTACTGCTTCCAAAAGAAGGAAAATAACCTATACAGTGGAGAAACCTGGCAACACCTTGGCCAAGTCATCGATATTAATGTCAGAATAGGGGCCAAAGACAACACGCGCCTCCAGAAGCTGTGTGTCTTTCTCAGGACGTCGCACCGCCCACACGGTGCTCCAGCCAAGAGTGCACAACCTCAGTCTCGTCACAAGCAACTGCAGACAAACATCAAAAATTAAAAGGGGGAAGGGTTGTGTTCTTCAAAAATGTCCATGTCATAAAGACAAAGAAAGGCTATGGAAATATTCCAGGAAAAAGGAATAACTAAGTGCAGCACCTGACCCCAGATTGGATTCTGTACAGGAAGCAAGGGAAATGCTGTTAACAGGCTTTATTAGGTCAACTGACCAAACTGGAAGACAGACCATACGTGTTTGTCCGTGTCCATTTACGAAGTTGATACGTGTACAATAGTTATATAGTAGAATGACCCTATTCTTAGGAAATACAGAGGTATTAGCAGAAAGCAGCTTTATATGTAACTTCCTCTCAAACAGTTCAGAAAAGAACTCTGCATGAGTAGAGAGAGGAAAGGAATGAGAGCACATACAGATGCAAATAATAAACAAGTGGGTGCATGTGGCTAGAGGATACTTAGATATTCTTTTATAATTCAATTGCCAATGTGCAGAAGTAACAAAAATAACTTCTAAATAAAAGATGTTTTTAAAACATTTTTTAATGTTTTTTTAATTTATTTTTGAGACAGAGAGAGACAAGGAGACATAGAATCTGAAGCAGGCTCCAGGCTCTGAGCTCTCAGCACACAGCCCGATGCGGGACTCGAACCCACGAACATGAGATCATGACTGAGCCGAAGTCGGAGGCTTAACCATCTGAGCCACCCAGGAGCCCCTAAAAGGTTTTTTTTTTTTTTTTTTTTTTTTTAAATAAAGAGATAGTTATCTACTATATTCAGAATATAATGCGTATATATCATAATTAATTCAAGGATTTTTTGGGCAAATAGCAAGAATGGAGACTGGAAACTTAGATAGATTCCCACCTTTCAAATGTCAGCAAAGGGAGTTTGCACTTTTTTTCTGTAAGCCAAGGAATGGCAGTACAAAACTTAAAGCATAGCAGAGACTTAATTAAAAAGGGCATACTTAAGGAAATTTTGTAAGCAAAATTTCAAGTGCTAGAAACAGTAGATAAGAGGGGCTATAAAGAGATATTTGAATAAATGTAGGCATGAAATTATAGGGTCTTAGCCTAGGAAGCTAAGATATTAGCAGAAAGAGGTACAAATACAGGAAACATGAAAATAGAACATCAGATATATCACCTGTTTACTAAATTACTGAATGTATGGGGGCGGGGGGGATCCAAAGAGGACTCAGATTTCAAGCAGAGCACAGCTAACCGAAAGAATAGGGTATTACTAACAAAAAGAAATTTAATTAGCTAAGCAAAGTATAACCGCTTTCCTGGCTGTCAGACAACTTTTTCTATTCTCGTTGCTCCTATTCTGGTGCAAGAGGAGTGAGGAAAAGAGTTCTTATATGCCAGTGCATGCAAACTGGGGAAACCAGTCTTCACAAGGTGAAATATTAAAAAAAAAAAAAAAAAGTGGAATTTATTCAGATTTTGAATAAACACCATTAAACTATACACACATAAGGAAAACTGAGTGGGAGGGTAGTGTCTCACATTAAACTATAACATATAGTTCCTTCCTCCCCTAAAAGTTATGTTTGTACATACACATACATTTATGAATATACATATATATTTGCTCATTTAAAGAACAGTCAACTCATACTATCATTAAAGGTAAAAACATGAAAAATATAACACAAGTTTAAGATTAAATAATCAATGGAAGGAAATGGGTCAGTATCTTCAGAAGATAAAGACAGAAAAGTACAAAGGATCGAATCAAAGTAAAACTGATTACCTGGCTAACCAGTCAAATGACGTTCAAGTAGGAGCTTATTTTTATTGGTCTGTGACTCCACTGTTCAGCAAGTATTTTGATCCTGAGAACAAAAAAAAGGAGGAGGGGATGTTGAATTTTATCACCCTTTCTTAATGTAAGTAGTAGTATTAGTCACAACAAATTAACCTTTCCCATCATTCCCTTCTCTGGACATATGATAGAAATAAAAACAGAACATGCAATCAAATACCAGGCCTCTTCCTAGGAATCTGAGGTGACGCCTTACTTTGCCATATAATGCTACTTCTGCTTACGAAGTCAGGTACGGCATATACAGTATACGGTGTCACAGTTTGTAAACATGAGTAACGCAAAACAGGTTGAGGAAACCAACTCCAAGTCCTGAAAAGTGGTCAAACCAGATGGGTAACGTGATTGTGGGGTGTCCCCACTTGTCCAAAACAAATGCTTAACAAGTAACAACTAAAAACAATACTGATACGTTGGCAGAAGCAAATGCTTAAATACCGTAGTCCAAAGGGAGAAATACCTACCACACAGGTGGGTGGATGGATGTATAGCAAGCAAGCAACGAAGAAAAAAGGAAAAGAGAAAAGAGAAAAAAAAAGAGAGAAAGAAGAAGGAGAAGAAGGAAAGACTGCACTTGGGCCACCAACAAGAAATATTTTTAAATGGTAAAGGAAAAAGGAGGAGTTCTTCAAAATAATCTGCAATACCTGAGCTTATGTATAAACGGCATCTCTGCACTTGAGGAAACATAGAACACGTTATGATGCCACAAAAAGTAAGCCAATGAAACATTCACCGTCACCTTACAAACTACTAACTGTAACAATACAGCCACAATCTGACTACCACTAACCCTAGAGGTATGTATCAAGACAACAGCCATAATTATGCCCTAAAGGTCACAGTAGTCATGCTGGAATTCGCAGGTCTGCTGGAAAGGGGTGAAGGAACGTGTATATTCAAGTTCCATATCACAGCCGTGGCCAATCTGCATGGAGTAGAGAGGAACAACCAACCATCATCTAGCTGCATCGTGAGAAGGGTCTGTAGCACTTCTGAAACCCAATTTAAAGGTGCGAAAATTGAGGGGTAGGAAGGAAGCACATCATATGTTCACAAAGAAAAAGGAGAAAATACAGGTAGCATATCAATGCCATGCAATTAAGTCTAAAAAAGAGCTGTTATATCTACTAACATTTCTATTTCTCATTACAGTATAGTTTCTGACTTATAACTGAGATGTCAAAAGATGGGACGCCTGGGTGGCTCGATCAGTTAAGCATCCAACTTCAGTTTAGGTCATGATCTCACGGTTTGTGGGTTCGAGCACCGCATAGGACTCTGTGCTGACAGCTCGGAGCCTGGAATCTGTTTCAGATTCTGTGTCTCCCTCTCTCTCTGACCCTCCCCTGCTCACGCTGTGTGTGTGTGTGTGTGTGTGTGTGTGTGTGTGTGTGTGTGTCAGAAATAAATAAAACATTAAAAAAAAAAGAAAGCTCGTTCTTGGAATACATCTTCCAATCCACAGTAATATAACGACCTGCTAGCAACAACGGTTTAAAGAGCAGAAGGTTTGTAGTCCACCAGATCTAGATGTAATGTCCAGCTTTCACTTACTAGCTAGTCAACTTGAAGACTTTCTTTTTTAAGATTTAAAAATTTTTTTAAGTTTATTTATTTTTGAGAGAGACAGAGACAGCTTAAGTAGGAAAGGGGCGGAGGGAGAATCCCAAGCAGGCTCCATACTGCCAGCACAGAGCCCAATGCAGGACTTGAACCCACGTAGCCGCAAGATCATGACCTGAGCCAAAACCAGGAATTGGACGCTTAACCAATGGAGCGACCCAAGCACCCCTCAACTTGAAGATTTCTTTGAGCCTTGAATTTCTAACTATAAAAGAGGGATCACACCTGTTAAGGCTCTTGTGAAGATTAGGTGAAAATGCTTAACTTACTTATCAGTACCTGATGCATAAATGCTCAATAAATAAAAACTATTACTAACCAACAATAGACTATTTGACATCTAACTTAAGAATATCAAAGCACAGGGGAATGGTTCGATTAAGCGTCCCTATTGCCTGCACTCGCTCTCTCTCTCTCAAAAAAAAAGAAAAATAAAAAATCCAAGCACATTCAAATAAAAAATGGGAGAAAATACAAGCATTAGTTTTAGTGTCTAAATGAATTCAATGTTTTATTACCTGAATGTTTATGATATCTAATTTAATTAGAGAAAGGTGAAGGGGGAAAGGTAGGCAGAGCTTCTATAAAGAAAGCCCAAGGTTTTCTGGCCTGGTTTTAAATCGAGTTTCATTTCAACAATGGTTCTTTTGTTTTTGCTCCTTTTTATGGGGGAAGGAGGAAAGTCGTGGGGTAGGGCTAGCATCTACAAAACCAGATGAGTGGAGAGGAAAAGGAATTTGATTCAGAATGTACCCAGTACCATAATGAGTGGCCCAGGAAACAAGCACTGCTGCGGAGGGTGGAAGGTTAGCCAAGTCTGTGGTTCCCACAAGCGTTACTGCTGGTGACGACCACCCAAAGGAGCGTGGACCCAAGTCCATCCAACCCATAACCTCCAGGATCCAAAGAAACACCATCTACAAAATCTCCCCTCCCAGGAAGTGTGCAGCTGGACTAGAGCCGTCCCCAAAAAGTCATAGATAAATGACTGGCTTGCCTACCAGGACCCTGCACAGGGCAGATAGGCTAAAAAGTACTATGCAGCAGGGGCACCTGGCTGGCTCAGTCAGAGAGCATGTGACCCAATCTCAAGGTTGTGAGTTCGAGCCCCACACGGAGTATAAAGATTACAAAAAATGAATGAATGAATGAATAAATAAATAAATAAATAAATGAATAAATAAATAAATAACACTTTAAAAAGTAAGTACATAAAAAGTGCTGTACTCTAGGCCCTGTGAAGTACAGAGCCTGGGAAAACTGCAGTTAACTTGTCTACAACCAAGGTTTTGCAGAGGCAACAGTCCCAGCAGACTTCACGGGACTGTATTTTTACCTTCAACAAAACAAGCATCATTTTCTCATAATTTGGACTTCAGTCTCTCACAGAAACAAAAGTCAAATCACACTGACAAAAACTAAATGACGTGTTCCAAAATACTAAATATGGGGAGATGCAGGTTAATTTTCCTGCTGGAATTAATGAAAAATGTGACTGATGGGATCCACATTATCAAAACCTGCATCGCTTAAAATCTAACGGGGAAGGAAAAAAAATTAAACTGAGCTTTGTTAATAGCTTGTCTGAAAAGACGAGCCTCCAGGCCAGAACAAAGACTCAGACTGGGGGAGGGGAGGTGACAGAGAAGAAAATCCAAACTGTATGATGCTGAGGCTTGGAAACATCAGTGGGACAAAAAGAGGCCACTAAGTATCATGAACATGTTTTTCTTTTGCTGTTGAAAACGGAAGGGGACAAGGATTCTGCTATTCATCATACTGAACTCAGAGTTCCTGCCATGCTGCTGTGGGTAGTGCTCTGAGGGACTCCCTCCTCATTTCCCTAAAAATCCTCGAGATGGGGAATCGCCATCTTTGGGAAAGGTCAGCAGTTGCCCCCTCACTTCCAAAGCAGGACAGAATAAAGGTACCAGCAACTTCAGGTTAAAGTTTACAGTAACACTGGTATAAATTAAACATTCTTTTGAAGTTGCTATTATTTATCAAATATATCATTTTTCAAAACTGTAACAACAGATTTTATTGCAACAGTCAACTGCAACAAATCTGTAGCTATACTGGAAGGGAAAAACCAAATGTGAGTTGAAAGTCAAATGAAAATTTTAAATTATTTATAAAAGTGCCACTTTTATTGAAGCTGTGTAAATTTACCTCAATTTTTTTAAAAACCACTTTTATTACTATTACCTAGTCCATTATTATGTGTTCTAGTAAATAATAAGAATGTATCTGCTACCCAACTGCACACTAGTATTATATTCATGACAAACTTTTTTAAATACCGAAGTCTTTTTGACATGGGGGGGGAATTATTTCCAATTACAGCATATACATGTCTAGTAAAGTAAGGCAGGGTTAAAAAAATAATAAACCAATAATATGCATTACTGATCTCATGGTACACACTAGAAAGGACTAAGCTGATTATAATAATTTATTCTACACAGTCATTGAATAAGTTACAGTAAACGTTTAGTCCTATATGGAGCCAACATGAAAATTTAGATGCAGTGAAAACAGAAGCCTTGCTTTCAGAAAACCTATTTTTTTTTAATGTTTTATTTATTTCTGAGAGAGAGAGAGAGCAGGGGAGGGTCAGAGAGAGAAGGAGATACAGAATCTGAAGCAGGCTCCAGGCTCTGAGCTAGCTGTCAGCACAGAGCCCGACACGGGGCTTGAACCCACGAATCATGAGATCATGACCTGAGCCAAAGTCGGCTGCCCAACCGACTGAGCCACCCAGGCGCCCCTGAAAACCTATGTTTTGGAAGTCCAGCTTCTTGAGGTGACCTTGTGTTAGACATTTAAATCACTGAATGTTTCCTGTGTGCCTAGGCCCCAGCCTGCAGAAGTGTGAGCAAAGTATGGTACCTAGAACGAATCAAAAACGGAGAAGCAGGTACAGAATGCCACTACTGGTATGTTTATTTTTTGAGAAACAGAGACAGACCGCGGGGGGGTGGGGGGGGGGGAGACAAGCAGGGGAGGGACAGAGAGACAGACACAGACCCCCTCCCCCCCCCAACACACACACACAGAATATGAAGCAGGCTTCAGGCTTTGAGCTGTCAGCACAGAGCCCGACATGGGGTTCGAACTCAGGAACCATGAGATCATGGCCTGAGCGGAGATCAAGAGTCGGACACTTAACTGACTGAGCCCCCCCAGATGCCCCTCCAATGAGAATATTAGAAGAAAGAACTACCTTGCCTTTTTCATAGGACTGCTATGGTAACTGCAGAGCACTATTTCAATGCAAAAAGACAAACTCAAAACCATTTTACTTCAGCAGAGAGAGAATTAATGAAATTCAAATGTACAGATAATTTCTATAATTATTTTCCACAGTTATCATAACTAAAA